TCCCATGTACACAAGCAAGTTACTATTTTCCAAAACAAGCCTATGCTAATTTTAATTGATGCTCAACCATTCTCTCACTATTATTAAAAATTTCTCCTTGGGTTTACAACATAGATATCATTTGCACATTCATGTTAGATTAGGAATTGATAAGTAAATTTTGAGATATTCTCTTTGATCATTGTCATATTATTATCAAACCTTTCTAAAGATGTCAACTAATATCAATGTTTTACAAACCACCAATGTCAACACCCATCCTTGACCAACATTGACCTATCGTTGACCAATCTCGATGTGACTAATGTCGAGGCCTTTCATTGACAAATATTGATGCTTGTTATTAACAAATATCGTACAGTCTGATCCACCAAAGAGATCTCTAAATGAACTTTGATTTATCCTATACAATCTGATATTAGATTTGAACTAATCGTATTGGACGATCTTTGAATGAATTGAACTAATTGAACTGTATGATCCGAGAATCACACTATATGGTCAAAGGCGGTTTAATTAAAATTTAGGGTTTTGAGAGTCTACTTTATAAATTTGTTTGTGACTTGAGAGAATAAGTTTTTTAACGTCTAGAGAAGTCTTCCTTCTGTGAGCTCACAAAGAAAAAGAAGAAAGAGGAGGTGAGGTTGAGAGAGAAAGAAGAGCATTGAGGGTATCAAGCAAGTATGAGGAGGTTCACATGGTTGCTCTATTGGGTTGGGCCTATAGTTTTTTCTCATTGCTAAAATTTTCAAATAAAAAATCTCATTTACTCTATAAGTTGCTCTTAACCTATTTGTGGGTGCATAGCATTTTCATTCAATATTAATATGATAAACTCTCTTCTTCACATGATGAATATTCTATCATATAGTAAAGAATAATATGTACAACAAAGGAATGATATGCTTTATATAAATTTTTGCTTTTGGCAGAACAAATTTACTGTTGTTGCTGCAAAATTAAACTTTAAAAGTTTCAGGTTCACTAATGTTATTATCTGATATTTCTGAAACTATTATATTTCAACCATCAAAACCATAATACAATGATCCATTCAAAACCAAATAACTTACCACTTAAATTTATAAAACAAAGCCAACATAAGTACTCAAAGGAAAACAAAGTATACATCCAATCAGACCGACTAAATAAAATATAGCTTCACACTTACACCACAAATATATCATCATCATCAATTTATCAACTGAAATTATGATATTAGTGAAAAGATCATTCCATTAGCAACATCTTATGAATCGTGTAGTCTAATCATGAACAACAGTTCAAATAAGAAAAAGCTTGCGATGGATATCTTTGGGCATAGCAACCTTATTTAGGTATCTATGACACATTTTGTGACACCGAGAGTTGTTTATTTCCTGAGTTCAGTTCCTAACTTTTGACTTGCACGCATGAAAATCCATCAACTTTAGCCGTCACCAATTCTGTCGGTATCACAACTCCAAAATAACTTTCATCTATCTCGTCTTAATCTCTCAAGCTTACATCTCAAATAATAGCGTGTTATCTAAGGAGTATGCGACTGTAAGTAAGAATTTACAAGTTTGGCCATAATTGAGCTTTAGATATTTGGGTATACAACCTTCTTCGAACAAGGCAGACAATAAATAATTCGAAACAAAACCAAAAATTGGGCAGTCATAAATATTTAAGGCGATGAAATAAGAAAATGAGGGATGAGAGGAAGAACAAGAGTAGAGATTGAATTTAACTATAGTAAAATTGCAGCCAACATTACTTTCACGTGAAATAAATTTATAGCTTAAAGGAAACCTTTGGGCTATAAAATAGGTTACATTCCTAATTGATGCTATCCAATGACACAAATTAGAGCTCACATCAACCCAATGACTCATACTAAATTAGAGCTGTTAATAGCGACATATACCTCTACCACACCATATGTAGCAGTTAAGAAACCTACAACTCAACTCAACCATCCGATTCCAACAAACCAAACAAATCACACCTTGCACGTGTAAAGCAAATAACCTTTTATCTGGGCAAACATCTCCGCTGTCCCCTATCCTCTACTAATACATGAAATGTAAAGAAATGTTTTAAGCTACTCTTGAAACAAAAGCTTCTTCTTAATTATCTATACTCTAGCATTCTCTATTTTTCATATACAGAATAACAACTCTCTGCTATTCAAATATGCCAGGCATTTTTTAGGAGCTTTCAGCATATAACCCTCAGGCTACAACAGGTTTCATGGTATCAGAGCTTCTACTTCACAGCATCAGCTCGGCAACCAGTCGTAGACCACTCCTCTTTGGTGAAACAACTTCTTCCTCCCAAAACTTGGTAACGCATTCCATCCTCACTCAAATTTGTCATTTCTAATATTAAAACCATTATCGCCACTCAACACTCCAACAATAACTATCCATTATGGAAATCCAAAATCTAAAAATAATTTTGAGCCAATGGATTCTCTAGTTTCCTTGATGGCATCTCCCCTACCCCGTCTCACTCTCTATCTACATCTTCTAGCCAAACATGTCCATACCCCGCCCACAATCAATGGTTTCTCATTGATCAAAATATTTTGTAGCTATTTATTCGATGATCACTCAAGCTATCCTTCAATATGTCTTACATCTCAAATCTTGTCATCACATATGGCTCACCATTGTCTGTAGTCTTCAATTATCCAATTGTTCGAGTTATTCAACTCTAGAACAAACTTCACAACATTTCTATTAAGATAATGTCCATGACAGAATACCTTAAAGCCATTAAAACACTCATTGAAAATAACATCATTGTAGGTTCAACCATCGATCATGAGGAGGACATTATTCTCTATAGTCTTAATGGTCTTCTACCTCCTTATCAAAAATTCAAGACCTCCATCAGCATCAAACTTATTCGAATTAGTCTTGATGATATCTAGCCACTTCTACATAATGAAGAAATTAACATTGCCACCGATGCAGCCAAGGAGATGCAAGCCGCTAAATCTTATGGCTGAGGAACTCATGGAAAGGGTCAATCTCAGCTCCAATTTTCCACCTCTTGATACCTCTAAAGACAATCAATCCTTCCTCACTTGTCAAATTCATAACAAATGAGGTCACACAACACCTAGCCGCTAGCATCGCTTGAACATTAATTACACGCCTGCAATAGCTCCAACCCACACAAAGCACCACTTGCTACTTCACCTAACCGAAAATTTGAATGGTTCATGGATTCTGGCACATTCTTTCACCTAACCCTGCATCTAGACAATCTCATACAGCCAACATGCTACATTGTATCTAAGCACATCATGAATGGCAACTCTCTTCCCATTGCTAACACTAGACAAGGGCTGCTACCAACACCTAACTGTAAGCTTCACCTTTCTCATCTTCTTCACATTACCAACTTATCTCATGATCTTCTATCTAATTCCAATCTCATCACTGACAATAATCTTTCTATCTATTTTGAAGCTTCTAGATATCAAATTAAGAACTTGCATTCATCTTTTAATACTTAAAGCCTTACTTGCATTCATTTTTTTCAAAAATGACTCAACTTCATTTTTTTAATCTATAATAAAACTGATTATATTGCTTAGCAGGCCATCTATAATAATTTCTTCCTTAAAACTTATATTTAATAAATTTTCAAAGTAACATCTATAACATCATTTAGGTCATGAATTTGAGACTATATCACACTCAAAAGCTAAACAAAGCTTCAAAACACTAAATGTTTTTATATAAAACTATCAAACTATAAGAAATATGTTTCCTTTTAATTTTAAGAGCTTTAATAGTTTTTGCTACAAGTCTCAAGTAAAATTTAATAAATCCAATGAATCCATATTTAGTACATTTGTCAAAGTGTTAAATCATGAAAACTTGTTTAACATGGAAATTGCTCAATCTAACTAAAACCTAATAAATTGTTTGGTAATTTGTTCCAAGAATTAGGATCTAAAAGAATATGATAAATGATATTTAACCAAGGAGTAGATATACAAACATCTACAATCCCAACTCAAAACTAAAATGATAAAAAGCAAAGCAAATTGATAGCTACAAGTTAGCACCGGAGGCGATAAAGCAGCATGAAAAGGGCTGATGACAACTACAAGAAAAGCAGTGGCCAGCAACAATAATCCTAAAGGGTGAAGATGTTCACAACCTAGCACCAAGGAGTTCAGTCAAAGGGAAAAACAAGAAAGAGGCATTTTACTTGTAAGGACACCAACACAATAGCAATGAGAAAGTGAAGAATGACAGAGGAACTTGCAAAATCGGAGCAAGTGATAGCATAGGACTACAGGATAACAGGAGAAGACAAAATGAATATAATATGCTAAATCCATCTCCCCAAGATTTATCAAATCCCCCTACACCTAAAAATGGAATTTAACCAAGCAAATAAATTTAACAATCAAAAAAACTATTTACAAGATTACAAGTATTGAACATAAGAAAAAACCAATCGAAGTGAAGATGTCACAAGCATAAACAAAATAACAATAGACAATAGATGTAGGCTTTCAAAGCCTTGAACATTTATGCATAAGTTTGGTAGTAGAAGCATCATGTTTGCTCAACTAAAGCATATGACTGATTACTTGAAATCCTACCAGAAACAAAGCATTAAAATATTTTCTGTTTCATCCATTTTTGCTCCACAGTTGTTTCAGCCCATCCTTATTTATGACATTGGCCTGCTCAACCACTTTCCGCATTGACCACCAACATTGTCTACACAAGCTCATAGGACAAGATGAAGAACCAAAAATAAAAGAGAAGGAACAAAACCACAACATGTGATGTTTCCATATGCGCAAAATATAGAAGGATATCGATACAATACAAATAAAAAAAATAGAGTTCCATCATCAAACCAAGTCAAAAATATATCAACACAAGCATGATGCAAGCTAAATCGACAAGAGGCCACTTCAATGAAAAAATCCAATCGATTTCGCGGCAAGTTTCACGAATTCATAAGAAAAGCACCATTTCAAACACAAAAAAAAAAAACTAAACCATTGAATACAAGTACGCCTGACATAAGCCACAATAAATTCATATAGGATATCCCAAACACAGCTACGCACAAAGTGCAAAAACGAAACAAAAATAAACAACTGCGAGCATGTTTCAATAAAATACAACCATAAACAAGACAACACACGCAACCTCAAAGCTCCTCCTCATTCCGAAGGTACTCCCCAACATCCGCCTGATGATTCACAACAATGGCGTTAGCGTCGGCCTTCCTGCAATCCTGTGTGGACCTCGCGGCCACTCCGAAACCTAGCGGCACATCTGCCATGGAATACACTACGACTCCATCGCCGGCATGAGTATTATCGGTTATACGAGCAAGTCCCCCCTTAAGGACAGCATTGCCGTAAAGGAAAGACAACTCTGCGGTGGGTTTAAGCCATACCTTATGGCGAGCGTGGGCGGCTAGGAGATCGAGAGACTGAATCGTTAGACGGAAAACGCCGGAGTTGGTGTACTTTCCGATACAAGTGCCTATGGAGACGAGGCGATCACGGGAGATGTTGGTAGCGCGGCGGATGATGGATTCGCTCGCGTAGTAGACGCGGTTCTTGTGGAGGCGGAAGCAGTAACGGCCTGGGGCATCGTCGGGTCCCTCCGTCGCCGGCCGTTCCACGATGTGCTTCAAGTTGGGGCCGGTGAACTTGAATAGCTTTTCAAATACTGCCGTCGTCTCCTTCTCATCCAACGGCCGCATTCTCTCTCTCTCCTGGGGGCTGTTTGACAACAGGATTTATGCAGAATTTATGGTAAATCCTGCCAAACGGGATTTGATCGCCCCGTAAATATCACGGCAGAATAAATCCTCTGTTTCCCTCTTTTTGCCGTAAATCCCGGATTTACTGAATCCTCTAGTTCGGCGGATTTACGGAATTTGGCCGATGTAGCGCGCGAAAGGGAGAAAGTTATCTTCACAGCTTTTAGGATTTAACAATTAGGCTAATGATGTTACTTAAAATTGATTGTTTAACAATAAAAAAATTATTAATATCTTTGTTGAATATGGCATATATGTGAATGCTAAAATATATTTGTTGAAATATTAAAAAGATTCATGGCAAAATTTTGAATTGTTGCGTTTTAGAATATTTGCGGTGACAGAGAAGTATAAATTTTAATGTCTTACTTTTGTACGAAGATCCAACACGCATACAGATAAAAAGAAATGGTGCAGCATTTATAAGAAACACCAAGATTTTTACGTGAAAAACTCCTGAAAATAAGAAAAAATAACGGGACCTAGTCCAATTTGAATGAATCCACTAGTATTTGTAGTTAATTACAAGTGAGACTCTTCATTGGGGGATGACATTGGCTTGATGTTACAAAAATACATCATACATAGTATATTACATGGTGGAAGCAGGAGGAATCATTGTTGATGTGTTCGTTTGGTCGGCGAGGATCATTGTCTAACGATAAACTTCAGAAGGATCGTAGTTGGTGGGCGACAGAGGTCGTAAAGATCGTTGTCTAGCGACGGAGGTCGGAAGGAACATAGTCGACAGGCGACAAATGTCGAAAGGACTGTATTCGGTGGGTGACGAGGGTCAGAAGGATTGTTATCGGCAGGCGATGAAGGTCGAAAAGACTGTTGAATGGCAAAAGTTCGATGTCGAGTAGAAATCCGACGACTTGCGGAAGTATGACATCGGGTAGAAGTCCGACGATAGACAGAAGTCCAATGACTAGTGAAAGTTTGGCGTTGGGTAGAAGTCCGGTGTCGTGTAGAAATTCAGCGTAAGGTAGGAGTCCAGCGATAGATGGAAATCTGGCGTATGGTGGAAGTTCGACATCAGGTAGAAATCTGGTGACTGACGAAAGTCCGGCATAGGGTGGAAGTCTGTCAAAAGTTTGAAAACGGACAGAAGTTCGATGTCAGGTAGAAGTCCGACGAAAATTCAAAGATGTGTAGAAGTCCGATGACGAGCGAAAATTCAGAATCGGTTAGAAGTCCGACGAAAGCCTGAAGATGGACAGAAGTTCAGTATAAGGTAGAAATATGACGTTGGGTAGGAGTTGACGATAGATGGAGGTCTAAAGTCATATAGAAGTCAGACGACGGGTAAAAATTCATTGACAAGAGAAAATATGGCGTCGGTTGGTAGCCGGGAGGTGGTCGAAAAGGTGTCTGGTGGCAAGAGAACTATTCATTCTCTTAATTATCTTTTTGTTTTGGCCTCTTTTTCCTCCCTTGGGATTCCCTTCTATGAGAAATGAGGGGTTTATTTATAATTTTTCGAGAGTGACATGACCAGTAAATAGGAGGAAGATCAAGGGTAAAAAGATCAAGGGGACGTGTAAATTTTTTGAGACATTTAGTTTGACTATAAGTTTGTTGAAATCAGAGTTCAGATGATCTCCGATTTGATTTTTGAAGTTTTCAACTTGATTTTTGCCTCAAGATTCATGCCTGATCAAGATAATTTTTGATGATATATCAGGAATTATAGATTAATGAATGACTGAATTAGAAGAGCAGCTGGAATTACATCCATTGAAGATATTGGTGGTTTGGTTATATACAATAAAGAGTAGAAATGATGCCCATTAGATAATTAGATAATCATAGCGTATTTTATGACTTGGCACCAAGAACATATGCAACCAAATAATAGAATAGTTTGACCTATCACAAGGAGTCAAAACAAGAAGAATGTTGCAATTAGTCAAGGGCCTACTACTACAAGGAGTCTTAGAACAATCAACCTTTTATTCTATTTCTCCCTAAATATCCAACCAAAATTATAATCTGTTTTTTCCATCATACATCAGAAGAATATTGATATTTGATTCACATGTGTAAAATATTTTTAAAAAAAATAGTATAGTTTAAATAAGATTCAAATAAAGGTCAAACATTTTTCAACATGTTTAGAAGCTTATTCAAATCAAAATCAAACAAGATTCAATCAATGATCAATTCAATTATATCATTTGTATTATTTTTTGTTTGAGAAACATTTCTATCTTTTTATAGAAGGAAAAAAAAGTTAATAATGGGGGCGAGAATGAATATTTTAATCCTTAAATGAATTTTGAGGAAAGGAATTGATATTAAGGGGTTGTTTGGTATCAGATTTATCGTGGGATTTAAGTCAGATTTACGCTAAATCCAGCCAAACAATTTTTGTGCGTGCGTTAAATCCCGGATTTACGGCTTAAATCCAGGATTTACTAAATCCCTTGGTTCGGCGGATTATAAACACCAAGATTTTTACGTGAAAAACTCCTGAAAAGAAGAAAAAATAACGGGACCTAGTCCAATTTGAATGAATCCACTAGTATTTGTAGTTAATTACAAGTGAGACTCTTCATTGGGGGATGACATTGGCTTGATGTTACAAAAATAAATCATACATAGTATATTACATGGTGGAAGCAGGAGGAATCATTGTTGATGTGTTCGTTTGGTCGGCGAGGATAACTTTTAAATTCACAACACATTAACTTTTATTTTTGATTATATATTTATTTTTTAATTTATAATTATCTTATTCACATTTAAATACCTAACTATCATAAATCCTAAAATATGTTATCAAACAGTTTCTCATAATTTAACAAGATTTAACATTTGACATACCAAATAATTTTCAGGATTTAACACATTTCAAATTTACTAAATCTGAATTTACAAGATTTATTAAATACCACTATAATTAAATCCCACGTGTTGCCAAACAACCCCTAATTGTAGAATTTTTATTACATCCGGTGTCCTGACGTAGCTCTACGTTCGGACGCCAGTAAAATGGTGCAACATGCTCCTATTCTTTACCACGCGGCCCGATGACCCAACTCGGACACGGACCCGGTATTGCTATGTATTGACTAATTTGTGCAGACCAGGATATTGCTCGGTATTGCTCGGTAACGAGAAATACCATTATATCAAGACTAATACCTAGCAATACCGAGTAATACCGAGCAATATCGAGCAATACCTCGTTTTTGCTAGGTATTGCTAGGTATTAGTCTTGATAGAGCGGCATTTCTCGTTATTGTCAAGCAATACCTAGCAATAATGAGCAATACCTATCAATATACGAACATAGCAATACCAGGTTCTGGTGCGGGTCAGGTCGTCGGGCCGTGCGGTAAAGAGTAGGAGTATGTAGCAATATGTTATTGACGTCCGAATGTAGAGTAACGTCAGAACGCCTGATGTAATAAAAATTACTAATTGTAGGGTAGACCAAAAAAAAACCCACCAAGATACGAAAAAACGCCGACAAGATCGGCTTTTGAAGCTCTCTGGAACCCTACTTGTGAATCTAATCTAATGCCAAGCTCCATTAATTTCATCGCCCTCTCTCTCAACAGCTTCGCTCCTGCAATTTTCTCCCCTCGCAATAAATCCTCTGCTCCCAACTCTTCTACACAAACATAAACTCAAACATCTCATATCGTCTCTCTTCTCTCTCTCTCTGCCGCTTCCTCGAGAGTGAGGGAGGATGGGCAACGCCTCGTCGATGCTCACCCAATACGACATTGAGGAAGTCCAGGAGCACTGCAGCTATCTATGTGAACCATCTCTTGCTCCCTATCCTCTCGTCTTTTGATATTTGCCCTTTACTTTTCATAAAAGGCTTTGAAGGTAATTGATTTGGTTGCACGACAGTTTCCCAGCAAGAGATTGTAGCCCTCTACGAGAGATTCTGTCAACTTGACCGGAATGCCAAGGGGTTCATCTCGGCTGATGAATTTCTATCCATACCTGAGTTCTCCCTCAATCCTCTCTCCCAGGTCAGAGACCTATTTTGATTTTAGCTGAAATCATCCACTGGCGTGCTAAATTTTTTTTATTTTTTTATTGAAAAGTTCTGTCTTTATTTGTTTCTTGCAGAGGTTGCTGAAGATGATAGATGGGTTGAACTTTAAGGATTTTGTGGCATTCTTGTCTGCCTTCAGCCCGAAAGCTTTCTTGCAGCAGAAGATTGAATGTAGAAGTCTTTTCTTTCTTTTTTGGTATCTTAGTAGTTGTTGGTCTCTGGGAATGATATAGTTGCATTGGTTTAAGGGTGATTGTTTGGATTGAATTGTTGATTGGGGAATTTCAAATTGCAGTGATCTTTAGAGTTTATGATATTGATGGTAATGGAAGAGTAACTTTTAAGGACTTGTTGGAAGTGCTTCGAGATCTTACAGGATCATTTATGTCAGAGGAGCAGAGAGAGGTGCCCATGCCCTATCTCAATTCAATTTCTTTCTTGTTCACCATATTGCTTTAGCTCACATTTTATGCGTACACAGCATGCAATTCCATTTACTTGATTGGATAATAAATTGATTTTGATCAAGTCGGCAAAGGAGTATGTGATACACCCATATTGTAGTATTGCTAGATGCTAGTTTATGGAAGCATATTTTTTAGCAATATTCTAAAAAGTGGATATCCTTGTAAACAAAGCCTAAATGTGTCCTGAAAACTATGCACCTCTTTATACAACTTCCCCTCTACCCACTTTAGTAATGTTTGTAAAATTAGATTTTGATTTTCTTCATTCCTTAAATAAACCATCTAAATCTTATAATTCCATGCAAAGATACTTTTTTTTGAAAATATCTTAGTGTATTTCCATCTAATTATTGAACACTTGTTTTTGATGCTTATCTTGGTTTCATCTTATCACAATTCTGTTTTGTTAGATAATAGAAGCAGAAGTGATTTTATTTTTTGTCTTTATTTTTTAAGATATGATGTAAATCTATGAACAGCCACATCCCCACACCAACCCCCATCCAACACATTATCCAGATTCATGATAGTACATTCCACCACCCACCCATTATAAACTCATACACACACAATGTAGGTGCCTTATTTAAGGCTTCATTTGTATGTTGTTTTTCCCCACATTTGCTTTTGAAAATGTATTTTTCGGATTGAAAATGATGGCTTTGATTGCACGTATGGATCACGTTCATAAAAATTTTTGTTCAACAATGAAAGATAACAACCATGAAAAACATTTTCTTTTGAAGTTGGTGGTTGAGCTGCGCTTTAATTGCAATTAACTGCTTTGTTTCATTGGCTTGGTTAACCACGCAATCACAACAATTTGTGGACCCAAATGTACCCACCTCTTAATTGACATTAGCTTCCCAGCCTCACTGAGCCCTCTACTCCTTCGGTGTTGACAACATTGTTAGTCTATCCCACATGAATTGCTTTGTTTAGTTGGCCTAGTTGAGCACCCTGTCAAGAGACTTTGTTCCTCTATCTTCATTAATTGATCATTTGTTATGTATGATGTCAATAAACCTAATTCTTGAAATTACCACCTACCCCTTCTCTCTCTTATATATTCTAACTGTTATAAAATTTTGTCTGAAAAGCGATGTTAATGATTAAGTGATCAAAATAAAAAACCCCCAAGCAGTTACATTATTCTGTGTTAATTGCTTCAATTTTTTTTTTCTTTTAAAAATAATTATTTTTTAGGTAGTTCTTAAACCTCCTCTTTAAGTTGTCCAATAATTCCTTTGTTCCTCTATGAACTGCTGATTTGAAAATATCTATTTTTATAATAAAATATGATATATTGAATATTTTACCATCTCGAGAGATAGAAATAATATTTTGTAATGGTTTTAAAAAATTAAAAATATGTTTTTGAAAAATGTTCACGTTCTCAGAGATTTTCTTTATCTTAGGTGAGTGAGATATAATTTATTTTAATATGAGGTACATGTTCCCCATCAAGGCAAGTTCTTATGGTTAATTAAATTCCAAGAGAGGCGAGTCTCCTGAGAATACTCTCGATTAAAGTAGTGATAAATATTTTAAAGATTTCAAAAGTTTAAGAAAAGAATGTTCTTTTTTGGAATTTCAAATGGGTTAGCTCAAGGTGGAATAATTCTTACTAGAAGCCAAAGGAAGAAAGGTAGTGAATACTAGATACCCCAATCCCTTCCATATTGAGCTTTAAGATTTTAAAATTGGAATTTAATGTTTGATTTGTTAATTTTATCAAAATATTATGGCATGCATTTTTCAATTATAAGATTGGAAAAATGCACAAGTGAGGATTCATGATATGAAAAATTAGTATCAAACCCTAGAACTAAGGTGAATATTGCAGAGTAATAACTCAAACTTAGTTTATGCAAATGTTATGGGACTTACAACCTTCAGCATGCTAAGAGTTTAAGAAAGCCCGACTCTTTGAGGATTACCTGTTAAACCCACTTAATTACTTAAAAACAATGCAGTCAAGGTCTATATGCAATGCAAGATAGGCTAGTTTGTTGTTATTTTGGATATTGAGACTTACAACTTAACCACCAAGTTGAATTGCCTTGGTACTAGGGGTATGTAAATGCTCCTAACTAATGTAAAGTTTTATTTTTATTTCATCCTTGGGGGCTTTTTATTTGGCTTGTTTTGATTCCTAAATATTATTCCTAGTTATTTTTATTTATATTGTTTCATAGAAATAATTTTGAGTCTGTAAAGCCTTGTTGTCAAGAATAGAGATCAAAGTTATGATATAATGAAGCATGCAAATATTTGAAGCACACTAGTGAGATTTCATATAAATTATAAATTTCAAGTATGTATCAGAACTTTTTTAATAGTTGATTATGCTAAGATGTCAGACATTTTATTCCTTAACTGAGGATTTCGATTCTCAGTTATGGTTAAAAGTTGTAATCAAGTGGCTTTTATTACTACTTTTTTTTGATAAAGTTTACAATTAATGATTTAAGATTAGCAATATAATAAAACATAAGCATAATATAAAATATGAAAAAATAAAAGACAGGAAAGTAAAAGAGAAAAAAAAAAATTCTAATCTAGAAAGTCTAAAGCTAATGCTCTATCCAACATCAAATGTGTGCTAGGTCATGCGGATGTCATTCTATTATTGGTTTGTTTATTTCTATTTTAGTTTTTAAAATTGTTCAATTTTTATTTGGGATGATTTTGATTCAAGTTTTAGTGATTTACAATTTTTATTTAATTTTTTAAGAGTATATTAAAGAAAATTTTATTGTTGATTTGATATTATTTTATTTATTGTTCATTACGACTTTATGAATTTATAGAAATTTGTTTGGCAGTTTTTTGTTAGAATAATAGAATATATTAATTATGCGAGACGTCGCAATAATTATTTAAGAATATATATTTAATTATATAAACCATTATGTGGCCCATATATTTGAATTATTACAATTTAATTATTTATGTTTAAATCCTATTGGTCAAGAAAAGATAATTTGATCATTCGTTTATGGACCGTTTGATCAAATAACTCCTATGAGCGGTTATTATAAAATAACTCATTTGAGTTATTATAAAATAACTCCTATGAGTTATTGTAAAATAACTCATATGAGCGTTTATTGTAAAATAACTCTTATGAGTTATTTTATGAGTTATTGTAAAATAACTCTCATGAGGGGTTATTATGAAAAATCCGTAGGAAATAACTACTGGTCCTCTCTCTCTCTCATAAGGAGCAGTTATCTTGCTCCATAGAGGATTGACTCATGATAGAAGAAAGTGAAGGGAGAAGGGAGAGAAACCGTAGTTCGAAATTCGACGAATTCAAAATGAATCAAGGTATGTCTTTCTTTCGATTCATGATTATGAAAATCATTTTGTTTAAGATCTTGTGGATTTTAGACTTATGTAAATTCAAGTTTTTCGTTTCGATTTCTTTTACATAAATTATTCTATTAGTTTATGCAAAGAGTTAGAGAACTCTATTAAGTCTTACATGTGGTATCAGAGCATGGTTGAAAACTAGTGATTTTCCGTTTAAGTTTTTCTTTAATTTCTTCGATGATTCTTTCTAATGAAATCGAATTCATATTATTTGTTATCGATTTCAATTATTGAATCATAATTTTGTCTTGATTAATTCATG